ACTCACACACACGCAGACACACACTTCTGCAAACATGGTGCTACCCTGCATGTACAGCCACAGGCTCGGATCTGCACACGAACCGCTCATTGCAATCGCTGCAGTGACGACCTCTACATTTGTATCAGCAACGCAGACTGGCGACTGGAGTCTCTGCACGTCAAGCTTTAAGCTACTGCAAAACTTTGCCTGCTTCGACGGTCAAGTCTTGCTTGCAATTGCAATCCTTGAAGTGTTTGCAACCACCGAAGCAGACCGGCAACTGGAGTCTCTTGCATTGCAAGCTACTGCAACACCAAGGCTTTGCCTGCTTCCACCGTCAAATCTTGCTTTGCAATGACAATGGGACGCACCGGCTGCAATCCATTAATGGACCACTTCAGCTGCCATCCTACAGCAGAGACTTCCGTCTCCCACTTCTTCGGAGAAATCTTCTTTGCAGCTTGGCTCTGGCTCCACTTCAGCCCTGCCTCTTCGTCCGAGATTCCGAAGATCACATCGTTGACCTGCTTATTCAATCCAGGGGCTTATGCTATCTGAATGTACTCCCAGAATGAACGGATGACCCAGCCTTCTCCAGCTCCCACTTGCCTTCTGGATTCAAGGTAACCCGGTGGTAACACACTTTGCAGTGGTCGAGGCCCTTTGTCTTCCTTGCATCATCCAGCATGTCTTCAACGGTTTTGGCAACGTTGTCCACGACGCCAATCATGGCCGCTGAGGGTGCAAACAAGATGTCCTTGTCTTCGTTCAAAGCGGCCTTATCCTTGCCTCCTTCACGGAATTTGCCTTTGCCCCATCCGCACAGGATGGCACCGGATGCAACCGTAGCCTCGGATGTGACAACAATGTTCTTGCATGCAGTTTCAAGGCCTTGCCAAAAATCCTGAGCCTAGGAACCGCCACAGAGGTCTCGTTCAGGATCATTGGGCCCTCGTCACTGATCACGAGTGCCGGCATTGAGTCGGATCTGCTAGCCATGCGGGCATTCACGAGTGGAACCTCCAGGATTCTCGTTCCAGGGGCATCCTTGACCTCAACAATGCATCCAGTGAGGTCCTTTTCAGCGGCCCTCTTTTTTGGATTCCTTGCCGAAGGAGCCGTGCCGCCGTCTTTTGAGCCCGGGCCTGCACCCTTCTTCACAACGAAGTCCTTGGCCAGGGGGTTCCTTCCTCGGAAGTCCTCGACGAACTGCTTGAATTCTGGCTTCAGGTCCCACCAATGCTTGATCATCGCATCGGGCAGCTCAATGGTGACGATCTCACCGCCGGCCTGCTTGTCTTCCGAGCTCTT